GACCCAGAGAATTCAGTCTTTCTCTGCCTGCTGTATCTTCCCACCACACTTCACTGCCCCCTGCTTGTCTCCCCCAACTTTTTCAGGCTTGTGGGACCTAACCCACACTCACAGAAGCCTCATCCCTAACACCTTATCTTCTTGGCTCACTGATGAACTGTGATTCCTCACCTGGGACCCCTAATCAGGCCATTTCACGTGGTACCTGAACCTATGGCCTGGACGTGTCCCAACCCCAGGGGGATCTTATCAATTTTTCTTCATCCTCAATCCAGAGTGGCTGAGCTTAGCAATAATAAGCATGTAACTATGGGCCTGTTACAGGTACACCTGGAGGAACCTATATGGGGCTCTAGGTAGCTCTCTGACCCCTCTGTCTGTCCCTGATTCTTTCTATACTACATCTAGCCCTGCAGCTGGTCCAAATCCCTTCAGGCCCTAGTGCACCCCCAAAACTCTGCCCCAGGAAGTGCTCACACCCCTTTGCTGCTTGAGATGGAGCTATGAGCCAAATATTTGGTTACAATCAGAAAGGACTGTAGGAGACTCACATGTCTCAGATACAAAAGCAAAGCCTCCCAGATCTTTCCGCCTAGTCAGTGGCAGATTTGGAGCAAGAACTTCACCAGAAGAACCTTTTACTCCAGACTGTGACAGTGCCACTTGCTGGTGGTCCATCTAGCAATGCTCCTAAAGGGCTGCAGTCACAGTGGGAATATAAACTAGTACAGTCATTATAGAAAACTGTGGAGGGTCCTCAAAAAACTAAAAATAGAACTATCCTGTGATCCAGCAAATCCACTACTGGATTTCAAATATTTGAAATCAATTTTTCAAAGAAACATCTGCATTCCCATGTTTATTGCAGCACTGGTCACAATAGTCAAGGTATGGAATCAACCTAAGTGTCCATCAAGGGATGAACACTTAGGTTAAGTCCATTTATCTAACAATAAAGAAAATGTGGTGTATACACACAATGGAATAATATTCAGGTTTTAAGAATACAGAAATTCTGTTCACTTTCAATAGCACAGATGGAACTGGAGAGCATTTTGCTAAATAAAATAAGTCAGGAAAGAAAGAAAAATATTGCTTTTTCTCATATATGAAAACTAAAACAATTGGACTCAAACAGAAAGTAGTACGTGGTTACAGAGGTTAACAGATAATGGTCAAAAATACAAAATCTTAGGAAAATAAGTTTGGTTTTCTTTGAGATCTACTGCACATTGTGGTGAACAGGGCTAGTAACAGTGTATTTTGCATTTTGAAAATTGCTAAGAGTAAATTTCAAATGTTCTCAACACAAAAAATTAAGTAAGGTAATGGATATATTAATTAGCTGGATTTAATTGTTCCACATTGTAATCATAAATCAGAACATGACTTTGAACTTCATAAAAATATAAATTACAAATTTTCAACTTATTAGAAAATTTAAAAAATAAAAAATTAGCCAGGCACAATGGTGCCTAACTATATTCCCAGTGACTCAGGAGGCTGAGGCAGGAGGACTGCAAGTTTGAGGACAGCCTCAGCAACTTAGTAAGGCCCTAAGCAACTTATGGAAACCCTGTATCAAAATTTAAAAATTAGAAGGGCAGAGGATATGGCTGAGTGTGGTAAAGCACCCATGGGTACAATCCCCAGTACCAAAAAATAAAATATAAAATAAAAAGATGCCAAAATAAAGAAGACCTACAGGATGGAGTAGCATTTGAACTCTGGATCCTCCTGTCTTCCACTGGAAACCACAGCAGGCTTGACCTGGCTCTGCTTTCTGGGGAGCCCAGGCTAAGTCATGTGCTTCTGTGTGAATGTTCCTTGTGTGGCCCAGGGAGAAGGTGGGGGCTGAAGCTGCCACATGGTGTTGCTCACCTTCCCAGGTGGGCAGCCTGAATGCCACACAGATGTTCAGAGAGAGGGGAGCCGGTTTAAGGGAAGCTTAGCACAGGAGCCACAGGTGGCCTAATTGCATGGAGAAGAAGGAGGAAAGAATTTAGACGGTGGGCAGAGAAGGAGCAGTAGGCAGGGTGTGCTGCAGAGCCAGGAGACCCGCCTTCCAAAGACAGGTTCAGGACACCGGGGACCTATAAAAGCTATCTCTGCTCTTGAGTGAGGAGAAATGAGCACTCACCTCAGGAGGCCGTGTTCCTCTTTATTTCCAGGGTGTTCCTGGAAAGGAATGGAAGTCTGGCTGCAGAAAGCCAAGAGCAGGATCATGCCTGGAAGCCCTGGGCCTCAAGCAGGTCAGGACCCCTGCAGGGGTCTGCTTGCAGTTATCTCTTCCCTACCTGTTGAGCCCAGGGTCACACAGGAAGAAGGGTCTGGAAGCCCCTACTATGCCAGCCATTAACCCTTTGGCTGCTGAACCACTGGAGATGCCCTGGGAGATAGATGCCAGGGTAGCCGGGACTGGAGTGACTGGAATTTATCAATAATTAAACTTATCAGTTGCCTTACTCTATCCTGGATGTAGTTCCCCTGTCAGGCCACATTCAAAGGAGTAACTAAAAGGATAAAATGTGGGCAGGATTAAAGGGACCAGCAGGGATGGGGAGGTAGCTCAATGTAGAGCACTTGCCTATGATATGTGAAGCCCTGGGTTCAGTCCCCAGTGCCACAAACAAACAAAAACTAAAAGAAGGGTAGTAAAGCAGCCAGGAACCAGAAATAGTGATTTCTAGTTGGAAGGATTCTGGCAAGGAATATAGTTGGGAGGGAGGGTCACTAGAGCCATAGCCTCAGGGTAGACACAGCCACTTGTCACTGTGGCCCTTCAAGGAGGAGACAGGGAAACAAGTGCCCACCCCCACTCTCCTGTTCCCAGTGGAAGCAGGGAGTGGGGGTGGGGGAGGCAAAAGAGACTCCACCCTGCAGTGTGGAGATCAGCCTCTGGGCACCAGGCAGGACCAAGAAGGGTGGAGAGTGTATCTGGAGGGGCAAAAATCCCAGACACTGGTCTTGTCCATTTCTGTTCCTGCCTATGTATCATGGGGCCCAGCAATGTGTGTATCCCTTCACCATCAGTCCTATTGTTTCAGCTCCTGGCCTACCCACTGAATGAATTCCAGCAACCCAATTTTTTCTTATGTCAAATTGATTAGGTCTGACCTCAAATGACACCTCCACCAGGCTCACTGCAGTTCCAGGTCCTCTGCATTCCCATGATGCTTTGCTCATGCCCAGCTTCGTTCCTCACCTCTCACAAGGCCTGACCTGAGCCCCCACCCCACTTCCCTTCCCTTGCTCTACTCTTTGTGTTTTCCCTTCCGTTCCTGCTAACACACTTCGATTCATTTAGAATGTTTATTGTTTATGGTAATCTCCCCCACTAGGATGCCCTAAATTCCTAGAACAGTGCCTGGCATGGAGTGGTATTATCCATCCAATACATTTGTGCACAAATGCAAAAATTCCATCTCATTATTTATGAGTGTCTTACCTACTGTTTTCCCACCACACTGAAGAAACTTGAGGGAGGACAGTCGAATTTATATTTGTGTTCTCCACAGTACCCAACACAATCATGGCTTATAGCAGAGAGCAACACATGCCTTAGGAATGAATTATTCTCACAAACAGGACCCTTCTCCCAGAGGGCTGGAGAGGAAGCCCTGGGGAGGGGCTCTAATAAAACAAATGCCAGAGGAGCCAGGGATAAAATATAATCCCCAAGAGCACACTCACCCCAAAGTCCCCCATCACTCATTTCCTCCGGCCTCACCCCACCTGCCATCCAGTAGTTCATTCAAATTATTAATTCATTAAATGGATTAATCCACTGGTGAGTTACAGCTTTCATAATCCAATAATTTCACCGGTGAGCGTTGCTATACTGGATAGCATGTTTCCAAAATGTGAGGGACTGTTCATATCCATAACAGGGGGCCAAACCTGCTGTGAAGCAACATACCCACTCCCCACAACAATGAGTTTCCCTTGGTTCCACCCTTGACACAAGTTTCGAGGTGAGAGGAAAGTTTTTGAGTTTGTTTTAGGAAAGACATGTATAATGCACAAATTAGGAGCTGGGATCCTTCAGGGGTACGGGCCTCTATTCTTTCCCGGAAGGTTCCTCCAAAGCACCAACCCCATGAAGTCCTTACAGAGCATCACATCAAAAACCTCACCTGTTGGTTGGGTTGCCTAAATCTACAATAGTCCTGCAGAGGAGTCAGTCCCCTGAGAATACTGAAGGGTTTTCTTCTTCCTCAAGCCCAGCGTGAGTGACCCCCCAAATTTCCAGGCTGGCCAAGCTGCAGACCCTGCCTGGGGAACCTAATAAGGTCCTGGGACCAGAAACAGCTGCACAACCCTCCAGCCCTCTCAGAGCCAATGGGAGAAACGGGCCACCACGATACCCACCCCCCCCCCCGGTGATGTAGCTGCATCTGGGGGCACACGAAGGACACGAGTCATGCCCAGTGCTCAGGCTGCCCAGTTCTGGATGAAGGAAATCATAGCATCAGTCATTTGCACTCTGCTTTTGCTTTCCCAGGGCTCACAGGCCACGGATGGAAGGGGGCTCTGTCAGGGGACAGAGTGGACTCAGCTGGGCTACCTGCTCCCTCCAGGGCCATGTGGACCGCAGACTTCAGCAAAAGGAATGGCCAGTAGGTAGAGAGGTGTCTGTTCATAAGGTGGCCTCAGCCACCCCTCCCCAGCTGTACCAGACCCTCAGACTCCAAACCCCACTTGCCTCTGCAGCTACTGGTTCTCCTTAAAGTGGTTCCAGATAGTCTTGTTCCCATGTAACTGAACAAAGGGACGAGTCAGTGCTGCTAAAACAAGTACATGGTCAGGGGCCCACAGGAGCCGCCTGGCAAAGCACCTGTGGCGGGTTTACTCCTTTTAGGGTTAATGGGCCTAAACTCAGGGCTTAGAGGACAGAGAGGGCCTCAGCCGAAAGGATGCTGATGGAGGCTCCAGTCACCCCTTCATCCCTTGGTCATTGAGGAGAATTTCCTCAGAGCCAGGCTGCAAGGCGGGAATACCTCAGTCCTCTCCACTTTGCCAAAGTCAGTCTTGATCACTCCTGGAATGAAGTAATCCACCCAGGTGTCCTTGGGGACCAGCTCCAACTCCAATGTCCTGGTGAGGCCCAGAACTGTAGGCCTCCAGCTCCTGGAAGGAGAATTGAGAGAGTGATTGGGATTTAGAGGAGTAGAAGGAAGTATCAGTTGGGTTTGTCACTTATAGAGAATCACAACAAGCCCAGAGATCAGGCATGCTCTCCTCAGGCCTGTCAGTCTGAGCACAGAAGCTAGATCTGAAGGACCCAGCAGCCACACAGGCACAAGCTCAGTCCAGAATAACAGGAGTAGGGCAGGGATCTGTCCTGGGCACTGTCCCTGTGGGTTCTTGAAATAGAACAAAGTTGACCGTCACACCACACTCACCAGAGCACAAGCGCTAAGCACTTACCACATATGGCATGAACTGGAAGAGACCAGGGTGACAGCCCCCTCCTGAGAGCAGACAAACAGGAAAGAGGAAACTAAAGACCTAGTTTTGTTTGGGGATCTGCAACACAGGCATTAAATACTGCAGTCCTCAAACAGCAATAAGAGTCCTTTAATTATCCCACTTCACATGAGGAGACAGGCTGAGAGAGATTTGGTAACAAACCAACAAACTTCAAAGCCAGGGTTCCAACCCCATTTCTCATAAACCAAGTGTCCATGTTCATCACTTAGACTGTACTCTTCTGCCCCTTATGAGGAAGAGATGAGCAGAAAGCCAGGTGCTTGGCAGAGAGGGCAGGTGGTTTGGTGAAGAGGTACCCAGGGCTGGGGCCAATGCCCACCATGGGCAGCCTCTAAGAAGCAGATGGGACAGGAAGGGACAAGAGATGAAGGTTAGGAATTTCCCCTCCACCCAGGACAGCCCCCCAGCCAGTTCCTAAAGGGTGTCAGTAAGGAGTGTAATCAGATTTGCAGAATCCAACAGAGGCAGATTGCTAAAGACCAAGGTGCATGAAATGGGGAAGAGCTTGGGATCAACTTCTCCCTGTGGGGAGAGGCCAGGCAAACCCTGTCGTAGGTTTTAAGTTGATGCAGAGGGATTTTATGCTGTGGGAAGGTCAGACTAGGTAAGAATGAGCAGCCCCCAAGGCAAGGAGCAAAAAGCACAGCCTCTTCTCAAACCTGACAATGTCAAGGTCAAGGAAAGCATGCTGGAACATCATCTCCATCCTGTAGCCACTGGAATGAGTAGCCATGCAAAGGGTGAGGCAGGACAGAGGGAGATGGGTAAACCTTTCCTGTCTCCCACCCGCTCCCCACTGTGCCTGTGCGCCTCAGCCTCCCCAGCTTTGTAAGTTCCCACTCACCCTGCAACCATAGCCCCTGTTCTCCACGTGGCGCAGCAGCTGGCTCAGCAGCAGGACTAGGGCCTTCACATTCACATTCGGTATCTGAAATCAGAGCAGGGCCCTGAGGAAGGAGGAAGAAGTCTGGTCATCTCCAGATCTGTTCAAATGACACTTATAATTTGTACATCAGACCCAAATGTGGGCAGCTTTGAGAGACCAATCCCCCTTCTTCCTGGATCAAGAGGTGCTTCCAACTTGCTTATGGTTTCATGGGCAGGCAGGCGGGCAAAAATGTGAATTACTCAGAATGAGGTAAAGGAAAAAAATGTCCAGGCCTTTTAAAGAAACTGGATTGTGTTCTGGTTGTGCAGAAAGAATCTAAAAACAGAGGCTACAGGAAAGAGCTAGAAGACAAACCAGATGGAGGACAAGCCGCTGCTGAGGTCTAAGGAGATTTCTGGAAGAGTCATCTTTGTCTCTCTGTGGTTCATTTGTTTATGCTTTTGTTTTTTCACAATAAAATTTAAGGCATACTCACAATACAACAGGATGAAGCAAATCAAATAGTTACCTTGAGTGAAGAAAGAAAAAAATAGGAAAAATAAGTCTAAAAAAATAAGAACAAGCAAGAGTGAGTTTGATACCTGCAGTTCACAGCACATGGCAAGATTGGGCATTATTTTTCTATACATTCACAAAAATAGAGGCTCTGCTCTGGGGTCCTACACACACACACACACACACACACACCCCTACTTATTGCAGACGTGTCTTCGAGCTTTCCTACAACCAATACAAAGATGGAGACACACTAAGAAAATCGCCATTAGGAGTTAGGTGCCTATGCTGATCCTGTCTCTGACTGAAGTCAGGATCTGGGATCCCACCTGGGTGCTGACACTCTGGGAACTCTGCCTTGTGGGTCAGGGGACAGTGGAGAAGTGAGAGAGGCACTGGCAAGGAAAGGTGCAGAGACTGAGCCCAGGGGCAAGGACAAAGTCCTGCTGGGAGGACAGTGGCTACTGGGGTTCCCCCTGTGAGGGGCTGACTGACACAAGGTCAGCAGTGTCCTGAATCTCTAGGGACAGAGGCTGCACACCTGTAACTGACCAGGCCTGTCACTGTTTTTCCCACCCCTTCCTCACACACCCACTCATCCTCTTAATTGTTGGTAGGGAAATGCTTCAACTGGGTGCAGCTGCAGCCCATTTGACGTCAGGTAATCAGTGTTAAGGATGGTCCTCATGACTACAAGAAGTGGCCTAGTCCCTGAGAAGAAAGAATCGAAGTTGGACTATGGATTTCCTTCTCAGAATGGAGCACTGTCACCCCACAGGATGTTTGTTCAAAGCCCTGTGTGCCTCAGGCTGAACAGTGGGCTGAGATAAGGCTTTTCCTAAACTCAGGAGCCAAACCTGAACCAAGGAAAAGGTGAGATTCCCTCTCTGGCTGAAGAAAACTGCTCACTAGAAAAGAAGGGCTCTGTGTACCAAGAGGTCCTGGGTGGAGACCTGTGAGCCTGGAAGAAGGCACATCCTGGAAAATCCTTAGTCAGAAGAGGGATGGAGGAGATGTGGGTGTGGCAGAAGGGTTGGAAGTTTCCTAATCAGCTGGAGAGAATGTGGGTCTGTCCAGAGGAGATCCCTGAACCTGGCCCAGGGATAAAATGAGAGATAAGGAATTCTCCTCACAAGACACCTACTGAAAATTGCATTCAGTTAAAAGCAGAGCATCGGGTAAATTCTAAACCCATTTTGTGACAATTTCACCTGCAAGGTGGCAGCAGATGTGATCAGGGGACAATTACTCCATCAACGATTTCTGTCCAGTGGCGCAGAATTGCTTGTTGAATACCAAGCCTTGGAGAAAAGGAGACCATCAGACAAAGTCAGGTTGATTGCCAGCATGCACCCCCAGCTTCAGGAGGCAAGATTTCTAACAGTTCAGAGAAAGAGTCATGATCCCATGAACCGAGACACTAGAAAGGAAAATGACTCGGGAGAGTTAGGAGAATGTCAGCAATGAAATCCTGGATACATAATCACAAACAATCTCTCAGAGACATTGGAACAAAGCTCAGGAGACTAGGGAGGCAGCTGCGCAGTGGTTGCAGGGAGCTCAGATTTCAGGTCATCTCTAAGGAAGGAGCGAGGGCATTCAGCCAAGGGCAGAGAGAAGAGGGGCCGGTCTGAGGATGATGTTGGCAAACTATAGAGTCCAGAGGCTGGGGAGGCACAACACACAAGGCCAGCAGGTGGGAACTGACCAAGTGTTTATGACAGAGCAGAGAATGCTAATGGCAGAAAGAAAGAGACTCCATCCTTGTCCATCTGATCCGTCAGAGGGAATTGGGAGCACAGCATGAGAGAGAATGCATCAGGAAGCAGGAGAATAACAAGGCCCAAGATGGACCTGGACCCTTATCCAGCAAGGTGGCAGAATCATGAAGTGGCCTCATGGTGGACTGGAATGCCTGAGCTCAGGGAATGCTGATGGCCAGAGCCAGTCCTGACAGCAACATCTGAGGACAGTGGGGACACATAATCTAGGAAAGAGACTCAGCAGCAAGATCCAGTCACCAGGGAGGAGCACAGCGACTAAAGTATGCCCCCACAAGAGGATGTGAAGATATAAATTCTTGGCTTTTACAGAAACACTCTTCCTATATGGTCACAGCTATATCCCCAGGGCCTGGAATAGCACCTAGCACACAGAAAGTGCACAATAAATACTTGCTGAATAAATAAATGCAAAAGATACAGAAAGAGAAAAGAAAGCAGAAAGAATGTAGCAGCCAAATTTTAAAACAAACAAACCATAAAGCAGCATAAGACACATTCTAGCCCACAAGCAGTCAGGCCTGCCATCCACGGCCTGCTTTCAGAGTCAGTGCCTCAGAAGAAGAGAAGAAAGTCCTGTTGGGAGTGGGCACTGCTGGTGTCAGACTCTCAGCCAGCTCCTGGGGCAGCCCCTCATCTTGTGCCACACCTGCTCAATGGCTCCTGGCATCTCCCCACCAGAGGGTTGACCAGGGGCACTGCAAAACAGGAAGTCCACACGTCCTCGGTACTCCAGGGCCTATGGGGGAGGAGTGTGAGAGAGTGTGGAAGTGACCTAAAGAGGCCTCACCCTCCCAGAGCGGCCTAGAAGCCGGAGGCATTGAGGCAAAACTTGCTAATCAAATGCCACCCCAATCAGGAATGGTTACCAGGTCCCTGTGAAAACCAGACTCTTGCAAAAGCAAGAATCATGGATGGGCCCAGGGACTGGCTCCAAGGTACAGGGGCACCCTAAATGCCTTCTCAATCCCTTTAGACACCTCCTTAACCACAGTTCTGAAAGGTGGTGTCCTCTCATGAAGAAGCCACTTGCCAGAAAGCTTCCTGCCACCATTCCCGCCCTGCCCCTGCCAGGGCTGAGCTCTAAAGCAGAAATTCCGTGTACTCTCTTTGTGTCCCCTTGGTCTCTCATAGCCACCATCTGCTCCAGGTCCTTGGCCTTCCCCATAGGGCACACAGTGCCATTCACATTCAGCTGCTGCCAGGGCTGTTCTGCTGCTTCCCGCTGCTGACAACCTGTCCTGGGCCCTATCCTTCCCCAGTTGTTGGTGAAGCCAATCCTGTGTAGAAGGTGGAGGGCACAAGTCAGCCTCACTCCTCCCCACCATTCTTCCTCTACCATCCCCAGAACTCAGTGAAGAAGGGAGTAATATATTCTACAACCTCGAGTCCTTCCATGGAAAACTGGGTCCCTGTGAGGTGTAGACCCAAGAAGAAATCAGGACATGCACCCTCAGTGGACCCTGTAACCACAGCTACCTGGTTGGCCAGGATGCCCTGTTCCACTGCTGGGCCTCCTCACAGAGGGCCAGTGCAGGGACAAAACAAGTCCTAGTGGACCCAAGTCACTGTAGGAGCATGGTAACCAAACCCAGACTGCTTCCTGCTCAGTCAACCCTGGTGGGAAAGACTCCATTTCACTTATCACTGATGGCATCAGTGAGCATGAAAGCAATCTAGCCCCCACTCCTCCAGAATGTTAAGGCTAGCATCCCAGAGTGGCGAGAGTCGGGCTAGTAACAGTGAACTTCAAACACCAGAGTGTCAGGTTAGGCAACCAGCCCGAGAAAATTTCCTAGTTATAAAAATGATATATAAGATTGTAAGACCTAAATTCCATAGACGAAAATTATTTTTCTATTCATTCCATAAGCAAGCACCGAGCTCTTAAGGTGTCAGGCACTGGGGGACATCTTGGTGAATGACAGACTAGTCCCAGACCCAGTTCCACACCCATGAAGTGCCCCATATTGAGTGAGGATGCTAAATACCAAACAAATAATTATGTCAATTAGTAATTAACTTATTTTAGAAGAGTAAAATCAACAGAAACTCATTCATGGCTGAATGGAGGGTAAGTATGATCATTTTGGAAAATGATTTGGCTTTGTATGGAGAAGTTGAAAATACAGCCTTCTGACTCTGCAAAGGGACCTCCCCCCACTCCCTGCAGAAGGGCAGCTTGTGTGTACCAAGGGATGGTGCCCATGTGTTCACTGCAGTATTTGATGTCAGAGTCCCTAACTGGAAACAAATCCATATGCCCAGTAGTGGTAGAAGAGATAAGTAAATCTTGTTGCATTTATATAATGGAATAGTATACACAGCAATGACAATTAATGAATTGAAGTTACACTGGAAAACATAAATGAATTTGAAAAAAAGATATCAAGTGAAAGAAACAGGCAGAAAATATGCATCGTGTGATTCCACAAGTTTCCCAAAGAGGCAAAACAACTCTATCATTTAAGAATGCAACTGATGATAAAACTACAGAGAAACGCAAAGCCATAATTGCCACACAAATCAGGAGAGTGGGTGTTTCTGGGGTAAAGTGTAGGGGCTGTAATTAGGGAGAGGCAAAACAAAGAGCTCTGGGGTGCATTTTATAAGCAAGTGATGGTCATGTGGCATAGGTGAATGGTTTATAAACCCACACAGACACACATAAATATACATACTTTTAATGTATGTTGTATTTCACAATAAAAATGTTTAAAAAGCAAAGTTTACATGCTCATGGTAAATTTTAAAATTCAAGCACTTTAGAGCTAGTCAGAAACTAAATTTCCCAAGTCCCTTCTCAGAAGCAAACTTACCAGCGTCTCAAATACTCTCTCAGGGGTGTTCTTTGCAAAAGGGCTTTGCTTTAAACAAGGTTTCCATTTATAAACATTTGGTTCACAGCTGAGCAAGGTGGTGTCACCTATAAACCAGTTACTTCAGAGGCTGAGTCAGGAGGATAGCAAATTTGAAGCCAGCCTGGGCAAATGAGTGAAACCCCTACTCTAAATAAAAACAAAAAAGTCCAGGGATATAGTTCAGTGGTAGAGCACTACTGGTTCTTCAATCCCCAGTACCACCAAAAGAGAGAGAGAGAGAGAGAAAGAGAGAGGGGAATAGTTTTCTGGGATATCCTAACCAGGAAGCAGAGACTTGTGGAATATTGGAAAATAAAGAAGGACCCGGGATCAGCCTGAGGTCCTTGAGATGCTCCTCTCCACCCTCTGGGCCCCAGAGCCCTGTCCACGGTTTGAAATTCAGCGAATGCTCAGGAAAGTCTGAGTAGAGAGTAAATGTGGGATGCATCTCATACTGGAGGTGGGGAAAGTGAGGGAAACTGGAGATAAATAGGGTCTATAAGGGTCTATAAGGTTGAGGAAGGTTTTGACAGGGAAAGCAGGATAAATGTTCCAGTGTAAGGGGACAGCTGAGAGGAAGTGAATGTCCAAGGAATCAGAAGAGAGTAGGGTTTCTGTGTGCCTGGAATGTAGAGAGTCCAGGACTCGGGATTGAGAAAGCAGGATACGGATCTGAATGGCTGGCCAGGCTTACACTGAAGTGCAGCTCTCTGAAGCTAGGCCACTTCCAGCAGCCCCCGCCAAGTGCAGCATGGAGACCCAAGCCCTCAGGAGGTCCTCAGAAGGGCAGAGGCATGCACAGGTGAAGGCAGAGTAAGACCTGGCTTAGGAGACTCAGGTATGCTGTCTCTGTAAATTGGAAAAATACTGGAGTCTTGTAGTAGGAAGCCTCTTTCACCCAAACCCCCAATATCCCAGCCCTAAATCAGGCCAGAGGCTCCTGCATCCCCTAGTGTGAGATTCCCATTAGCTCCTTATTCCCTACCCTAATCTAGGAATCTGATTAGTTTCCTGCTGAGGGACATAGGAAGGGAGTGGCTGGAGCAAAGAGTTAGAGAAGGCACTCAGGGACTTGGGGGTCTGCTTTTCATGCAGGACTGTGCCAGAGACACGAAGAGAGGCAGGCTCTGGCAGCTTTGGGTCAACAGACATGAACTTTCAGTGTGTATAACTGTCCGCAGACCCTCATCATCACTTCAGATCTGCTCTGGCCACTCCATCACCCAGGGACTCCTGGTTACTAAGCAACCTCTGCCTTACCTACTTCATCTGCCCTTGTTCCTTAGCAACCCTTGCGTAACCCAATTCCCTTGAGTTTGGGGTCTGTATCTATAAAATATAAATGAATGGGTGCTGCTCAGGAATTGTAGAGAAATTTTAGATTAAATATCAGTCTGTACTCAGCTCATAATGAAGGTGACCAAATGCTCTGCTTTGGGAGGGACAACCTTGCTTTCCAATTTATGTCCCTTCTGGTATCATATTTCCAAAAGCATTCTTTGCAGGTGCTAGACCTCCTCCCTTTTTTTTTTTTTTTCTCCCAGCTGCTTTCACTCTGCTTGCTCTCTCACACAGGCACTCTCTCCTTTCTGCAAGGTCACATTTACAGCGTTACATTTCAAGCGGGGGGGGGGGGGGGGGGGGGGGGTCTCATCTCCTGATTGGTCTATCTTCCCTAGACAGGACACCAGATTCTAAACCTCTTCTCCCCACCCCTGGGACTCCTCTCACCCCATCTTCAAGCACTTAACCCCCTACAGATGATGAGAGGAAGGGGAAGCCGGTCTCCTTGGCCTGCAGCGGGGCAGGAAAAAAAACCAGAACGGCATTTCGTCGGGACAGGGCGCCCCCTACTGGACATTTCGAGTTACAGCAACACTGAGAAGCATTCCTGTCTCAGCAAGTCTGAGACTGTCCCCTTTCTGGCCTGCAGCAGTTCTCACTGAGCACTGCTTGTCTGAACTTGCCTCAGGGCAATTTGCAGGAAAGGTGACCTAAAGTACAGAAAAGCTACTGCAGCCCCTTGCAGGTAAAGAGATGAGGTGAGGCCTCACCTGTCTCCTTGCTTCCCCTTCCACACAGAGCCCCTCTCTTCCAGGTGGAGAGGGAGCACTCATTCACACTTCATTCCGAAGCGATCAGCTAGGCCAACTTGAGCAGAGTTGACAGCAGGTCCTTGGAGTCGCCCTGGAGACTGACATTGCCTGTTCTGATACACCTTTCCATGCCTGTCAATTCAGATGCCCACAGTTGGGAATGGGAAAGCCAAATGGACACACCATTAACCTAGCCCCATCTTGAGGTGCTTGATGGCCTTCAACACTCACTCCAAAAAGAGAAAAGCAAAAGCAAAGAAAAAGGGGGAAAAAAAAAAAGGAGTAAGGAAGAGACACAAATACTTAGAAACATTGAAAATCAGAAAAGAGAGAGACTAAAGAGAAGTCAACAGAAGCTATGTGATCTTGGACAAGTATGTGCCCCTCTCTGGCCTCAGTCTGTACCTTGGTAAAATAAGAAGCTGACTTGGGTGGTCCTAAGGGCTCCAAAAGCCCCAAGAGCTTTATTCTGAGAATCAGAGGAGAAATAGACTGAGTTGCAGACATAGAGTTAGGGAGAAATAAACATCAAAACAAAAAGTAAAAAGGAGTGAGGATGGGCCATTCCACCCATCATGGACCCCAGCATGGCCATGTGGCCTCAACTTGAACCACACCATTCCTGCCCTGGGCTGTGGTGATGCAGGCTCAGTTTATCTGGCTGTCATGAAGTCTGCAAGTGTGAGGATGTGAATAGGATGCAGGCTAGGCTTCAGAACCTGCTGATTATATCTCAAAAACTCAAGTGTGAGCAGAATTTACAGTCCCAGAATTCAGAAGGTCAGAATGAGGATGATAAAAGGACTCCCCATAGCCTAGGAGGAAGAACCTGGGGAAAAGTACAGGACTTGTCTGTATAAATTTCTGCAGAATGCTGCACATGACACTTACCAAGGACCCATTGCTGTCAGCATCCCACTTTCCCCAAAGATGCTCTCACACAACAGAAACAGACAGATCCATGGATCTAAAGCCTGTACTCAAACAGGCTGCAGACCCCATCTTAGGGAAGCTGGGATGGGCAGGCCAGGCAGCTATAGGCTCACTTGGCTATGGAGGCAGAACTGGATACACATTTTACCAGCAATAGAAACAGACCCAAGCCTCAGTCCCAAAGCCACTGAAGTAGCTCCTCCTCCCCAGGTCAGGTCCCTGGAACTACCCAGAATTAATGGCTGTAGAGCTTCTGGTATCCACACACCATCCAGGATGTCACCCTGATCCAAATAATTCATAAGTAACCATTTCATGCTAGATGCTGTGTCAAGTACTGCAAACATCAAAATAATGATGGCATAGCCCCTACCCTCAATAAACTTACAAAATTAAATAAAAAGCTCACAGTCTAACAGAAGACAATGCAATGCAGAGTGATGCGTATCAAAATGGAAGTAGTCATAGGGTTCAGAGCACCTGAGAAAGCATAGTAAAAGTCACATTGAGCCAGGCGTGGTGGTGCATACCTGGAGTCCCATCTGCTTGAGAGGCTGAGGCAGGATAGTAAGTTTGAAGGAGCTTGGGCAACTTATCAAGACCCTATCTCAAAAAAAGTTTTTTTAATTAAAAAGAAATTTTTTAGTTATAGGTGGACATGATGTCTTTATTTTACTTTATGTGGTGCTGAGGATCAAACCCAGTGTCTCACAAATGCTAGATGAGTGTTCTACCTCTGAGCCTCAACCCCAGTCCTTTTTTTTTTTTTTTTAATTTTTAAGGCTGGGAATGTAATTCATCAGTAGAGCAGTTGCCTAGCATGTGTGAGGCCCTGGGTTTAGTCCACAATACAGAGAGAAAAAAAAAAGCCATGTTGAAAATTTGATGGAGGATGTACCGTGCAGCTGGATAAATAGTTCTGAAGCTCAGGAAAGCAAACTGGTGTTCAGGAGAATGATTTGGGAATTACTGCCCATAGGTAGAAACAACCTCATAAAGTGGATGCCAAATGCCAAGAGTGTGAATAAAGTGAAAAGAGAAGAGCCCCAAAACTGAAACTGGGGCCAGGTGCGGTGGTGCACGCCTGTAATCCCAATGGCTCAGGAAGCTGAGGCAGGAGGGTGGCAAGTTCAAGGCCAAGCCTGGGCAATTTAGTGAGAACCTGTCCCGAAATGAAAAATAAAAGGGGCTCAGGATGTAGCTCAGTGGTACAGCACCTAGGGGTTCAATACCCAGTGCCACAAAATTAATGAAAAAAAACAAAATCTCCAACTGCAACAATTTTCAACCTTCCTCCAACTCATTCCCACCTGTGCTAGTCAACTTTCGTCGCTGTGACCAAAATACATGACATGAACAACTTAAAGGAGGAAAGGTTTATTTTGGCTTGTGGTTTCAGAGGTTTCAGTCCATGGTCAGCTGGCTTCATTGCTTCAGCCTGAGGTGAGGCAGAACACCATGGCAGAAGGGCATGGCAAACGAAAGCTGCTCAGATCATGACAGCTCAGAGCAGGGTAAAGGACCAAGGTCAAGATCAAGTCCCCAGGGGCATACACTGAAGGACCACTCCTCCATCAGGTTCCACCTCCCACTGTTTCCACCACCTCCCAGTAGTCCATTCAGAGTCTTCTGAATTAATCAATGAATTAATTCACTGAGGAGGTTAGAGTTCTCAAGATCCAATCACTTCTCAAAAGCCCCACCTCTGAACAAGCCTTCAACACATGAGCCTTTGGGGGACATTTTATACCTGATCCACAGCTCCACCTATACGCATTAGGATAACACCTCACAAACTTGACAAGCTGTAAAGGCATTTATCAGGAGAGAAGTTAGTTTGCCAACATGATTTTGCCCCTACTTATCCTCTGATGAGCTCTGACTCACAATGTGGCACACCATATGTTCCAATGATCAGCAAATCACCAATAGATCTGAGGTCTACTCCAGAGCTTGACATCAAGGGGTCCTCCCTTGCATCCCCTATGAGGGGATACAAGGTTGCCAGACTTGCAAATAAAAACACAAGATGCCCAGTTAAATTGGAAGTTCAAATACACCTATAGCAAAAGATATAGGTTGTATATCAAAAGATATAAGTCTATCCCAAGTATTGCAAGGGACATATTTATACAAAAAAAAACACCTTATTTGGGGTTTATTTGAAATTACAAAACTTAACTGGGTATCCTATATTTTATCTAGCAATAATACTTCTTTGCCCTAGTGATAAGAATTCTCCAGAGGAACAGTGACAAGCTTATTAATTGATCTGAAAAAAAATACCAAAGTGGTATATGGTTTACACATCATCCCAAAGAAAAGTAAAGACAAAATAGTCTTTATAAAATATATTTAGGGGCTGGGGTTATGGCTCCATGGTAGAGTGCTCACCTAGCATTGGTGAGGCATTGGGTTGGATCCTCAGAACCACAAAAATGTAAAAATAAAGATATTGTGTCCACCTAAAACTAAAAAATAAATATTTTTTAAAAGGATATATATATATATATATATATACATATATATATGACACCAGTAATACACAGGTGTATTCTCCCTTGAGTTATATAATCCAATAAATTATTACTTTGAAATTCTGAAATTTTCCTTACACCTATCTGGAAATTTCACTAAATAGGAATCCAAGGAGGTCTCGAAGAGAGAAAGGGACCTCAACTCAGCCCTAGCAGAGGTGACTTGCACCATAGAAAAGAATTTTAGGATATATCAAAAGAGACACAAACAAAGATTTATTTAGGAAAACAAGTAATACTACAGATGCACACTCAAAGGGAAAGGAGTGCAGTTATCTGAGGGTGAGACACACTTTGGGATCGTGGGCCCTTCTTTTTAAAGGAAATTTTGTAAATAGTGAACATGAGAAGTGTACAGGGGTGACATCAGCCTGGTGAGCTCAATTCCGTCAATCATGGAGCACAGGGAGGGTCACAGCAGTCTGGTCATTTCAGGTCTCTAGAGTGACATCATCCAGTCAATAACATTTGGAATATACCCATATCATAAGTCTCTAACAATATCTTCCCTTTGATTTATGTAGTCTAAAGAAAATAATGTTGTATAGGCTAGCAATATATGAAGGCATTAATCATCTAGGCTCATATTACTCTAAAAGGTTCGAGGGCCTTTTCCTCTTCTTTTTTTTTTTTTTTTTGGTAAGATTTCAGGCTTGGTGGAAAATGGATTTGGGAAGTAAAGGACAGGGTATTCGTGGAGCTTCTTAGATTTAAAGTTACAGCTTCTTTTCCCTTTCCTGTAGTCTTCTCTCTACCTCTCCTTATTTATTTTATCTACCCTCATTATTACAGGAAGTAAGTACACTTCATTTTATTTTGTGACATCTTTAAATGTTTTTATTAACCCTTATAAATTTTGTAATTTTATCTAAAATTATTTTTTAATTTAATACTTTATTCTAACACATAACAATATGATCATTACAATACAGTCACTCTTGTTTTCTTTTTTTAATTTAAGGAGTACGGGGAATTGATCCCAGGGGCACTCTATCACTAAACTATATCCCCAGCCCTTCCTATCTCTTATTTTGAGATCGGTTCTCCCTAAATTGCCCAGACTGGCCACAAAGTTTTGATCTTCTGCCTCAGCCTCCCAAATAACTGGGATTACACATGCACCACCACAAAGTCACAATATATTTATCCTTATGTTCAAGGATTTATCACCGGCTTAATAAAGACAGATTAGAAGATTTGCTTTGTCAACACACAGTCACATCATCTATGTCTAAACATACTAGGGAAAAAAAAGATGAAAATGACATATCAGATATTTCTCTGACTAGCAGAAGAGAAGGATGTGAAATCTGTTTCCCTCCTCTATATGGATGTTAAGTATAGATCACCATACTTTATGTATCAGATCACATTAACCAGTACTATAATACCAGGTAATTGCTAGGGCTAGTTTAGAGAAAAATAAATTGACTACTTGAAATGTAGATATGATGCACTCAAAGTAGAAATGAGGAAGTTATTGCCACATCTTACTGGGTAGGCTTTCACAGTGCATTAGGTAGAGAAGCCCACAATGGCTGGGATAATGAAGCCCTGTACACTGGCACCTCTCGATGTCTGCTGGATGAAATCAGAGTGAAAGGAAGCCAGGCGTGCTGGTCCTTGCCTGTTATCCAGCTATTTAGGAGGCCGAGGCAGTCTGGGCAAATTACCAAAGCCCTGTCTCAAAATAAAATAAAAAGGGCTGGGGATGGAGCGCTTGCCTAGCATGTGCAAGGCCCTGGGTTTTATCCCCAGCACTGAAAAAAGAAAAGAAAAATAGTCTGTGAAAGAAATCCTGGGTGCTGACACTTTACAGCAATATAATCATTCATCAAATTAAACTGATCATGTTTGCACTTCATGCAAACGTGAAGACCGCATTACTGGCTTGTCTGAAGAACTGGGGGCTTGATGTTTTCTTGTATTCATCCAATTGGAACCAATCAATCATTAAAACCTTTTTTTAATATGTATTTTTTAGTTTTAGGTGGACACTTTATCTTTATTTTATTTTTATGTCGTGCTGAGGATCAAACCCAGTGCCTTATGCATGCTAGGCAAGTACTCTACCACTGAGCCACAACCCCAGCCCCTAAAAATCTTTTGATGTGAATACTTGGCAACAAACACAAGCGGTGGTGAAGTTTTCAGCATTGACTAACTTTTTCAGGTCTCATAGACAAATGTTTACATATCAAGAATTTTTTTTTTTTTTTTTTTTTTTAAATATTTATTTATTTTTTTTAGTTTTCGGCGGACACAACATCTTTGTTTGTATGTGGTGCTGAGGATCGAACCTGGGCCGCACGCATGCCAGGCGAGCGTGCTACCGCTTGAGCCACATCCCCAGCCCCTCAAGAATGTTTTTGATATTTCTACCCATGACACAAAGCAACAGTGGGTAAACTTACTGAAGTAGAATAAATGGG